GGGGGGGGGGGGGGGCGGTGGTGACAGAGTTTTGCTCCAAAATCCTGAGAGCCTGCCCTGCAGTTCCCATATAGGGAACCTGCCAAAGTCTCCAAACAGTATCCCTATCTGCCACAGACATGTCAGGCACCATTGAATCTGTTGGATCATATGGCCCAGTGGCAGAGCAGCTTGCATAGCAGCCTGGACCTGTTGCAGAGACTTCTCTTATTCTGGGCCTCACTCAAAACCAGATGCTTTTGGGGTCACTTGGTAAGTAGGCCAGAGTAACACACCCAAATGAGGAGTAGGTTGCCTCCAAAATCCAAAGAGGCCAACTAGGTGTTATATCTCTTTTTTGTTTGTAAGAGGGGCCAGATGAAACAACTTATACCCTCACTTTAGAAGGGATATCTCAACATGCCAAACACCACTGGACCCCTAGAAATTTCACCCAGGTAGAGGGCCCTTAAATTTTTGCCAAATTTATTTCCTACTCTCTGACATTAAAGTATCTTACCAGTAAGTCTAGAGTAGTTGCTACTTGTTGCTCACTAGGTCCAATCAACGTGTCATCAATGTAATGGATGACAGTGATGATACCCAGTGTGATATCTTGTGGGAGGAAAAGGTGATCAAGATCCCTGGGAACTAAAGATCCTTGGGAACTAAATTATGAAATAGGGCTGGACAGCTGATATACCCTGAGGTAAGAGAGTGAAAGTGTACTGCTCACCTTGCCAGGTGAAAGCAAACTGTTTTTGGCAGTCTTTATTAAAAGGTATGAAGAAAAAAATGCATTTGCCAGATCTATAGCTGCATACTACAGGGGATATGTTAATTTGCTCAAGCAATGAAACTATATCTGGTACAGCAGCTGCAATTGGAGTCATCACTTGGTTAAGCTCACAATAACCCACTATCATTCTCTCAGATCCATCTGTCTGCATAGGCCAAATAGGCAAGTTAAATGGAGATGTGCTGAGAATCACCACCTCTGTTTCTTTCAAGTCCTTGATGGTGGCACTAAGCTGTGTAATCCCTCCAGGAATGCAATATTGCTTTTGGCATACTACTTTCCTAGGTAGAGACAGTTCTAGTGGCTTCCAGTTGGCCTTTCCCACCATAACAGCCTCCACCCCACAGATCAGGAAACCAGTGTGGGGATTCGGTGTGTGCCACCTGACCTCCATAAATCCTCCATAAATCTGATTGATGGACCATAGTGACATTCAGGGTCTCCTAAAATTAGTGCTAGTTCAGAGCCAGTATCCAGTATTTCTCAAAAGCCCTGATGGTTTCCTTTTCCCCAATACGCAGTTACCCTGGTAAAAGGCTATAGGTCCCTTCAGGGAAGGCTTGGAGAAAGATTAACAGTATACATTTTTGGCAGTGCAGTAGGGTCCTTCTTGGAGGGGACCTGGCCTCCCCTTCATTCAGGGATTTCTGGGTCTGTAAACTAGCTCAAGTCTTGGAATTGATTGAGGGGCTATGACTCTGTTTTAATGATTCAGGTTAGACATTCGTTCACTCAAGCTAAAACTTTTAGGCTCATACAGATTAAGTAAGAATTTAGTAGTCTTCCTATCTATTCACTTCTAGGAACATCATGATCAAGTAGCCAATGCCATAAGTCTGTGATAATCAGACTATTCTGATTGTTGCCTTGACTTTACTGTCCATTACGGTAACCACACCCACCTTGCCTTTGGCAGTTAAAGTGCCTTCACTTTGCTCCTGCCAACTGGGATCCTGCTGCATTTAGGTTTCCCAATCCAGTGACTATAGTTCCCACATAAGGTTTGGCCTACGAAGAGCTCTTTGTAGGCCACATAAGGTTTGGCAATCACAGAGATCTTCAAGGATATTGGGGCATCCTTCACAAATTCATTTCTCATAGTCATGGTAAAACGTATGTCTTCTGGATGCTCCCAGAGTGAGTTAATGGTTCATGTTTCAGCTGACCAACTAAACAAGGTGTTAGAGCTATTTCTAACTCTCCAAGCTGCAAAATTAAATGCAGAATCTCTTTGTGAGCCCATATCAGTAAATTCAACCTGACCCAACTTTATGTTCCTTTCAGTATTATCTCATATCCTTAATATCTATTCTTACACATGTTCTCTAGATTTCTATCTGTATAAATTAGAAAACTCAAGTTCTACTGAAATTGTAGCACATTCCTAAGGACCCAAAAGTGTAAAATTTACTCACATTCAAGAAGTATAAATACAATGATGACAATGGTAATGATATAATACTTATTACTTTTATAAGTAACTAACAGCTAATTAAGCAATTTACTATTTGCTACCATGTTCTAAGTGCTTTACATGTAATTTATTTAATCACCATAGTAACTCAATTGGGTACTTTTTATTTTTATCCCAGTCAATAGATGAAGCACAAAGGGCCTAAGTAACTTACCTAAGGTCACACATCTAGTACATGGCGTAGCCAGAATGTGAACCCATGAAGTCTGACTCTAGAGCCTGAACTCTTAATCCCCATATCTTGCCTCTGCCTACTCCTCCAGCTCATCTCCCATTTTGTCCTCCTTGCTCCCATGCTCTTAGCCACTCACAGTTAACTGCTCAGAATTCTCTAACACAACATAGCCTCCTATGGCTCCCTGCTTTTACATATGTATCCTCTTTGTGGAAGGTGTACACTCGCCCTCCAAAATCAGCCAGACACATTACTATCATTTTTTTCAAGTCTCACTTTAAACACGTTCTTTTGTGGATCCTCACTTGACAATACTCTCTTCCCCAGTTCCCCTTAGAAGAATTAGAATCTCCTTGGCTGGTTGTCTTGTAGTTCTTTAGGTTTGGCTCTAGGAGGGCTCTTATCCTATTTGCATTATAGTAATAATAATTATTTTTTACATGTTACCTTTGCATTAAACCATGAGCAACATGAGGACAGGTGCCAGGTTTCATTTATCTTTACATTTGCAATGCCTTGGGGATATAGCAGATATTTGGTAAATATTTATTGAATCAATGAATAGAGAAGGAAAAAAGTCAATAATCATAAGAAAAAATTCACTTTACCATTTCAACAAATCACCAATATCAAATGGATAAAGTATATTTTTAGTGATAATACCCATGTTGGTGAGACTATAGGAAAATAAGCACTTCAGAACATAATTTCCATCCTATCCTAATTCCTTCAGTCTCATTTCAGATTTTTCTATATCTTATTCTTGGATAACATTATAGATTAAGTCTCTCAGGTACTCACTTTTATTTAATCTATTTTTACTGTTGAAATTCCAAGATTGATTAACATATTACATTTTAAATTACTTTTGGTTTGCTAATAACATTTTTCTACCATAGACTTTTTATTGGAATTTGGAAGTAACAATTAGAGTGGTGTGGAGGTAGAGGTAATGTTAGTATACTGCAAAGCAGAAAACTAACAACCGTTAGACACCCTGCTCATAAAAGTCCCTCACCTCTTTTCCCAAAAGGAGTAACTCCCTGACCAACTTTCTTCATTAGGCTACCACTCCCTTCCCTCCTTCACCCATGAACTTGGCACTCTCTTCTTTTTCTCATCTCCAGACCTCCTCACCTCCTCCCTCCAGAGCTACACCCAGAAATTCAAAATTTTTCCCACCTTATTAAGCAAAAAAATTCACTGCTCTCTTTACCTTGGAGTCTGGCCCATCCTGGCCATGTCCTAGGGGCTTCTTAAGATAACTATATGCTCTGTCGAATGGATTAGTTTTTTTAAATGTCACATTATCTGACCATATTAACGAGACTTAAAACACTTACGTCTCAGGGTCTGTTCTTTCTGGAGGTGGTGCAATGTTCATAAACATGGATGGCTCAATAATTTTCTGAAGAGGTTTTAACTGAAGAAAAATATAAGTATATTATAATACTGTTTAGTTACAATTACAATTTGCCCTAATACTACTAATCCCCTAGACTATGGAATAGACCTTTAGTGACCCCACATAAGGAGAAAAGGAAAGGAGAAAAGAAAAGAAAAGCTAACATTTATTGAGTACTAAGTATCTGCCAAGCATTACTGTACCTTTAATCTTATTTAATCCTCTCAATAAACCTATGAGGTAGAAAACTGTGCCTATTTTACAAATGATACTAAAGATCAGTAATTTATTCAAGGTTACACAATGGTGTGAGAGCCAAGGTTTGAATGCAGCTTTATCTGGCCCCAGCACAGTGCTCTTTTTACAGTATCACAATAGGGAAGAAGGGAACTGTACCACTGAAAAGAGAGTTGAACTTTTATTATATATCCCATTCTTTTCCATACAATACCTTCATTTCTTATTTTTTGTAGATTCTACCTACATAAAACAATACATGCCCAGTTTTATCAGAAAAGGATACATCTCCTTAAGAATTGCTATTGTTATGTTATACTTATATTTGGACACAAACCTGCCTCTGAAGTTGGTGCACATAAGCTATGACTATCACAAAAAAAGATTAAACAATTAAGGGTCCCTGCAAGCCTAATTCATGATAAGAAAATAAAGAAAACAGGCAGAAGGAAAAGAAAGAAAAATCAAGCAGAAAAGAAAAATGAAAAGCTATTCCTTGTGGATTTTTTTTTTTTTTTTTTTTTTTTTGGCAGCTGGCTGGTACAGGGATCTGAACCCATGACCTTGGTGTTACAAGGCTCTCTCTAACCAATTGAGCTAACTGGCCAGCCCCCTTGTGCCTTTCATCTGTATATTACATACTTCTGATTCGAAATGTATTACAAATCATGATATACTATAGGTAAAATTTAAAAACATATTATGGCGATTTCTCAGTTAACATAGTAGTAGACTTATTAAATAAGACTGATGTTCCTATTCTCAATCCCTAATTAAAAGCACCCAAGTCTACAAAGTTGCAAAAACTGGAAATGAAAGATTATATGCAAAGTATAGGGCCAGCCCGGTGGTGCACTGCTACAGTGCCCTGCTTGGGAAGCACGGCAGCGCTCCCGCCGAGGGTTCGGATCCCACATACAGACCGGTTCCCGCTCACTGGCTGAGCGAGGTGCGGGGGCAACACCGAGGGTTGCGATCCCGTTGCCGGTCCCGGTCCGGTACGGGCACGACACTGAGGGTTACGATCTGTTGCCGGTCACGAAAAAAGACAAAAAAAGAAAAAAAAAAAAAAAAAAAAAAAACTTGAAAAAATGGGAGCTCAGAAATGTATGATTTGACTGAAGAGCTACAACAGAACAATTTTTAAAAAGAGAAGAACTAACCTGATGTGAAAATCCATAACCAAAGTTTCCATAGGAAAACATAAATTCCACCTCCAGCCTGCAGATAAACTAAACGTGGCAAATTTATTTTATTATTTGATCAGAATGATATTTCAATGTAGAAGTGATAGCAAGTAATATTTTTACTTCACAAATCTGTAAGTTATAAAAGCAAAAGTACGAATCTTCTGATTTTAAGAAAAGTATTTACACAAGGAACTCCTATAAAAAACTACTGAATTCTTGAAACGTCAAAACTTTTTGTGTTAAAGTTAAGTAATATTATATGATTAAAATATAGAAAACATCAACATAACTGTTAATAGAATTATACTGAGATACTGACATATATACGTGTATATTCATATACGTATATATATATAATTTCAAAATTATTTACTCACACTCCTCTCACCTCCACTCCTATTTTCAGATAAAATTTTGATTTAGACAAGTGACTTCACCTCTCTGAATCCCAGGTTGCTTATGTGTGAAAAGAAGGAGGGTATCAGAAATAATGACCTCAAATGTCCGTCATTCTGTTTTTTAGGTTCCTTGTCCCCATTTCTGCTACTGGCAGCAGAAGTATCTCTGAATAAAAGATCAATTAATCAAGCCAATAATTTAAGTACTTAAAAAGAAATAAGAGTAATAACTGGAAACAACTCTTAGGAAACTCCCCAAGGGGAAAGATAATACTTCAATTCAGCAAGTGAGGCTCCTGAGACAATGCAGTCAAAGAAGCATCCAGAAGTATTGTACTCTCTCACCTCATGATTTCTAATTTTCTTTTCAAACATTTAACAGTAACATAGCAGCTTTAACAAAAAAGGTGAGGGTGAAGATTTTGTGAGCAAATATTATACTTTCCATTTAATACATTTCTACTAATTCAAACAGTGACTGGTTGAATAACAAGAATAAAGAGATGTAGGCTACAATGTTAAAGTGATATAAAACATTAATATTACATGTACACAAAACTTAGCAAGTTTCAGTAAATTTCTTACTGTGTTTTTATTCAACATTCCAAATTCCTCAGTAAAGCACCCTTTCTAGAAAAAAAAAGTATTAAATGATAAGTCTTAAATATATAGTCACTTGTGTATTTAACCATATATTATTTAAACCAAATTTATGGTAAAAGAAAAAAATCAGGTAATGATTTTTCAAATTCTAACTAATAGTTAAAATACAAACATAATGGATGTTCAGAAGAAGAAAATAAAAACTCCAGGTACAAGTAACAGAAATAAATGTTAATATTTACATTTATGTTTCAGACAAACATGTTCCTGCTACTTACAGTTACCCTTTCTGGAAGTCTTAGAGGAACTGCCATGCCCACACTCTTTTTGAGGGGTTACTTAAACATAAATCCACATGATAAGCTGACTCCTCATAGGACTGAATGCCTTTCTCATCTCTCAGGCACTGCTGGGATCTTCTAAACCATGTAAACCTTTGGTATTCTTGGTCACCATCTGTGGTCATCTCTATCCTATGAGTTATCTCACTTAATCCAACATCCCATGTCTCCCTTTCTTCCCTGCATTTTACACTGCTACATTCCATGGTAAACAAACAAACTTACATTTTTAACTGCTTCACTAAACATTCCTTCCAACTCTCTGCTTTACCTGAGGCCTGGCTCATCACTCAGGATATGCTCCTTCCTTTATAGACACCTCAAGTGAAGGTGCTCCTTCTCCCAAAGTGTACATATCACAAGGTCAGGAGGTGGAGTAACATCCTCCACATTACCTTCTAGATCATATTATTTCATGCACGTATAAAAAGTTTTCCTCTTTCAAGCCTCATTCTATCTAGCGATTCTATCATCTTTCAGACATTTTGGTCACTAATTCTCATTTGACAACCAGCTCACATTCTCTTTATTTCCAAGAACATAACAGTCTACAAGGACCTGTTTAATCCCTCTTCTCTAAGATCCTGGTGATACATTAAATGAGGGAAATAACTTAGGTGGTAATACAATATGGCAGACATCACACAGAATTAGCATATCATATATGTTCTTCACATAAAATCACAAGATTTCTCAGAAAATCCACAACTAACTGAAATTAATTCCCTTAATGATCTTGTCAACCTGCTTTTTATAGCCTCTTGCTCTTGGTAGCTTCTCTTCTCCCAAAGAGCGGTGGAGAAATACCTCACTGTTCCACGACTGTCTTTTTTCCCCTTCTCTTTTATAAACTGTCTGTGCTTTTGATCAAAGAAATCAACCTATTGATTAGTATCCCTCATATATAAGTAAACTTTCAGCCTTTTTTTTTAACTATTATAAATGTCTTTGAGTTATTTCTGGAGGTCTCATTGAGACCTTCCCAATTGAGTCTTTTCACTGGAGCCAATTAAAATGTCTACTTTGAATATGCAGTGTTTCCAAATCTACTGAGTTCTAGGCCTTCATTCAGCTCCTCCGGTGAGTTTCAATGTGTGGCAATGAGCTATTTGGCTCCTATGCCTTAAATTTGGCTCTGCTCTGCCCAAGGCAAATTATATGGCTAAGCCTGGGGTGGGGATGGCAGGAAGAGGCAATAGATTACTCTTGTGTCAATAGACACAAGAAGGTGTGATTCTTTGTAGGGTATTACTCTATAGATCTTTCACACCTTTGAATTCTTATTACCTTTCTCAAACAATTACAGTGGCTATCAATCTTTCTAACTGTTGAATTTATCACCTGGTCCTATGCTTCTCTGGTAAGGATTATAGAACCAAACTGTTTTTAAGAGTGGCTGTACTGTTATACATTCCAACCAGAAATGTGTGAATGATTCAATTTTTCAGCATCCTGACCAGCATTTGGTGTTCTCACTATTTTTTATTTTAGCCATTCTGATAGGTGTGTAGTGATACCTTATTGTGGTTTTAATTTGCATTTTCCTAACAGCTCATAATTTTTACCATCTTTTCATAAGGGCCTTTTTGTGTAATAAACACAAAGTATAGATCCCGAAATTAATCATCACATTCCCTTTCATAATCAATACAGGAATATTATAAATTCCAGTATACCTACATGCCTTAATTGGACCCTTAACAAGCTGGCCTTAACAATTAGCTAATATTTCTGATTTCTCCCAGATCCTGAAAGGAACCCAAGATGTATCAGGGATAGGAAGGAAAAGGAATTAATGATATAAGCTACAGGCCAATTATATTTTTTATAAAGCTATACAAAACCTATCATGTAATTTAATTAATTCAACTCAAGATCTTTAAGCTGGGCTTGTTACCTCACTTGGTTAGAGCATGGTGCTCATAACATCAAGGTCAAGGGTTCAGATCCCTGTAACCAGCCATCCATCAAAACAAACAAACAAAGAAACAAAACATACAAAAAAACACGTCTTTGTCCTCCATAATCAGGCCAATTACATTCAAAAAGCAATTGATACTAATCGGTAATCATAAACAACATGTTTGTGTCTTAGTGTATACCTGCAGGATAATTGTTGTGCAAGATAACTGTGCAATCAGATGGCCTTCCCATACTTTCAAACACTACCTGTAGTTTAGTCTGGTCATCAGGTCTTTCCAACTCATCCAAGACACTAGATTTTACCAATCTGCTTGAGGATTTCTACCCTGGCTAGTAGTTCCAGAACTAAAACAAGTGGTCTATAATCTATCCCTGCATGTGGCCCAAATAGCAAATGATATAGTTCAGGCTTTAGAGACCAAACAGATCACTATAAATTTGTTAACTAGAATCATCCTAGATAATACAACTGCTTTGATCTTTTACTATCCATTTAGAGTAAAGATGGTGCAGTAACCTATGCATCTTGCTGTACCTAGGTAGATACTTCAGGAAAAGTTAAATGATCAGTAAATTAAAAGGCCCTCATGAGAAGATAGTCAACATTATTAGCTGTTAGAAAAGTGTAAATTAAAACCACAATGAGGTATCACTACACACATATCAGGATGGTTAAAATAAAAAATAGTGACAACACCAAATGCTGATGAAGATGCTGAAAAATTAGATCATTCACACATTTCTGGTGGGAATGTACAATAGTACAGCCACTCTAAAAAACAGTTTGGCTGTTTCTTTTAAAACTAGACATGCAACTACCATACCATCCCAGCAATTTATCCAAGAAATGAATGCTTATGTTCAAACAAAAACCTGTACATGAATGTTTATGGCAGCTTTATTCAGAATAACCAAAAACTAGAAACAAACCACATGTCCTTCAATGGGTGAATGGTGAAAGAAACTGTGGTACAATCATACCATGGAATACTACTCAACAACAGCTAAAAAGGAATGAACTGTCAATACATGTAACAATATGGATGACTCTTCACAGAATTATACTGACTGAAAAAAGCCAATCCTAAAAGGTTACATACAATATGACTCCATTTACATAATATCCTTGAAATAAGAAAATCGCAGATGGAGAAAAAATTAGGGGTCGCTAAGGTTAAGAATGGGGGTAGGTATGGGAGGGAAGTGTATGTAGCTATAAAAGGGCAATATGAGGAATCTTTGTATCTATGGAAATATTCTGTATCTTGGCTGTAACAATGTTAATATCCTGGTTGTGATACTGTACTATGGTTTTGCAAGATGTTATCATTGGGAGAAACTGGGTAAAAGGTACACAGGACCTCCCAGTATTTCTTTCAACTGCATGTGAACCTATAATTATCTGAAAATAAAAATTAGAAAAGGCCACTTGGTTATTAAAGGTGGGCTGAACTGATCTATGGGCATTTTCTCCCATTAGGCCTGGGTGGAGTAGGACTGGATACAAAGTGGGTTCAAGACATTTATTTGAAATATTTATTATTCACAATATTATTATATTTGTGACAATCTCATAGTTCTTGCCTTCCTCTATTGTCTGATATACAAATGCTTAAATATTATTATACAGCCATCACCTGAAATAGTTTTTAATGTAATTTAATGAAATCACATTTTAAAAAATACCAAAGCCTGTATGGTCAACTTTGTACTTCTGGAAACTGAGTTTTGACCAAAAGAAGGAACTCGGGAATTCTAATATGGAAAATAATGCAATCCATTCAATCATGTATACCTATAGAAGCACACTGGCAGATATTACATGAAGAAAGCATACCTTGAACACACCAAAGCTAAAATCATAAGGCTTTTTTGGAAAATCCATAAATAACCAAAACTGTTTCCCCGATGACATTAACAAATTATATGGTCACTTTACCTAGTGTAGTAATTCAATAATCTAGAGACTCTTTTGCAGGTACGCATGTAAGGCATGCTCAAGAAAATTCACTACAGCAATACCAATAATAGTAAAAAACTGGAAACAACCCAAATGTCCATTAACAAGTTTATAGATAGACTGGACATCAGCAGCATGATGGAATAGAATTTATCCTCCCTTTCCCTCCCAAAGACACCAAGCAAACACCTACGTACCTATCAACTCACTCTAAGAAAAAGCCAGAATCCAGTTGAAAGACTCCTACATACCAAAATACTGAGAAAATATCCACATCAAAACAGGTAGGAAAAGTGGACATACACTCACAAACTAACCCCACCATAAGCACAGCACTTTACATTCAGGAAGGAAACCCCAATTCACAGCTTCTTCCCAAGGGGTGAGAGGCTCATATCACACATATAGTGCACAACTTTCACAGTTCCTGCTGGAGGGCTCAGCTCTTAATTTACCATGCCTGACGAACAGCAGGCACAGGGGATCAAAGAATTCCCCTCAAACACAAAAAACAAAGGGGACACAAACACTCCCAGCAACTGCAGCTCCTGGGATCAGCTCATCTTCCACCTTGCCCCTGGAAAGGGTATGGCCACTTTGTCAGCAGCACCCTGTTTCCCTGGCCTCTAGCAAGCCAGTATCTGGTAGTCAATGTAGAAAATAAAGAATAAACCTCCTAGAGCCCAGATGAAAGGAACAGCACTACCTCTCCCTTCTTCCCCAGCTTCCTCCAGTGATAATTCCAATCCATCCCTGGAAAGAGGTTGGAGGCCTCCGACAGTGAGAACGAAGAAACAACACCCACCCCCATGCCTTCTTCCCTGGCTGCTCCCGAGATAAATTTCTCCACTCTGTAATCAGAGGAAGGCTTGGGATCTCTCCAGGCCTGGAACAGAAAGTGGGCACTCCCTGCACCTTCTTCCTTGGCTTTCTTCAGCAGTAACTCCAGACCAGAAGTCTCCCCCTGCTAAGAGGGTATGAGACATCTGCTTGCTTAAACAGAAAGTGGGGACTTCTCACAACTTCTGTGGCTTGCTCCAGCATTAACTCCAGATCTTCAGACACTCCTTGGAAGTAGTTTCTGCAGACATCAAGCACCCCAACTTTTACAACCTTCACCTGAGGGACTGGCCCTAAATCATGTAGCTCTAGAAGTTGATGAAACTCTGTACTCCTGATTCTCCTAAACCAAAGGACAAGAAGGTGACTTTTAAACTTGCAAACCTTCAGCAGCTATCTGACCAGTTCAAAATGAGCAGTCTGATCAAGAGTATAGATATCTACCTCAGACCCTCTCTTTAGTGTAGGGCAGAATGAGTGGGAGATAAACTCTGGCTATCAGCTTTTCTGCAAGGAAAGAAGGAACTTCCATAAACCTATTAGTAGATTTTTCAACAGAAACCCTGAAGGCCAGAGGAAATGGGATAATACATTCAAAGAGCTGAAAGAAATAAACAGCTCAAGAATAATATACTCAGCAATCAAGAATACTATAAAATAAACCAATCAAGAATACTGTACTCAGCAATCCCATCCTTCAAAAATGAAGAGGAAATTTTAAAAACTTTATCAGTTGAGAGAATTTATCACCACTAGACCTGCCTTATAAGAAATACTAAGAAGTGTCCTTCAAGCTAAAGGAGAGGTTGCTAAGTAGCAACATGAAAATATACAAAACTATAAAATTCACTGGTTAAAGTAAGCATATAATCAAACTCAGAACACCCTTATATTGTAATGGTGGTGTGAAAATAAATTGTATCTCAAGCTTGAAGCCTAAAAGACAAAATTACCCAAAACAACTATAGCTACAATATTTTGCTAAGAAACACAAACTACAAAAGATAGAAAGCATGTCATCAGAAACAAATTGTAGTTGGGGGAGGGAGTAAACATGTAGAGTTTGTGCAAGTGATCAAAGTTAAGTTGGCCTGTCATTAGTATAAGATGTTTTATGTAAGCCCCTTTACCCACAAGACAAAAATCCTTAGTAGATATAAAAAAGACAGAAAAAAGTGATTCAAAGTATAACAGTACAGAAAATCATCAAACCACAAAAGAAGACAGCAAGAGAAAGAGAGAAACAAAGGCTCTATAAATTAACCAGAAAACAATTAACCAAATGGCAATAGTAAATCCTTACCTATCAATACTTACTTCAAATGTAAATCAATTAAATTCTCCAACAAAAGACATCAAGTGACTGAACAGGTTAAAAAGAAAACAAAGACCCAACTATATGCTGCCTACAACAGACTTATTTCACCTTTAAGGACACACAGAAACTGAAAGTGAAGGGATGGAAATAGATATTTCATGCCAATGGAAACCAAAGGAGAGCAAGGGTAGCTATACTTAATTCAGACAAAATAGATTTTAAGTCAAAAACTATGAAAAGAGACAAGGAAGGTCATTAGGTAATGATAAAGTAGTCAATTCATCAAGAGTTATAACAATTGTAAATATATACACACCCAACACTGGAGCACCTAAATATGCAAAGTAAATATTAATAGATCTGAAGGGAGAGATAGACTACAATAAAATATTAGTAGGAGGACTACAATAAAATATTTGTAAGAAACTTCAGTATAACACCACTTTGAACACTGGATTCAGAGTGAACATTTCAACATTGAAACTTTGAACATTAGATTCAGAGAGAACATTTCAACATTGGATTCAGAGTGAAAAACAATAAGGAAACATTTGACCTGAACTACATTTTAGATCAAATGACCTAACAAATAATTACAGAACATTGCATTCAATAGCAACAGAATTTCCTTCCTTCCTTCCTTCCTTCCTTCCTTCCTTCCTTCCCTCCCTCCCTCCCTCCCTCCACTCCTCCTTCCTTCCTTCTTTCCTTCCTTCCCTCTCTCTTTCCTTCATTTTTATTTTAACTTATCAATATACAGTGCAGCTGATTTTTGTGTCCCTTTTTAAAATTTTTTTTTATTATTTTTATTTTGTCAGTATACAATGTAGTTGATTATTATGTCCCATCACCGAAACCTCCCTCCCTTGATTTTTGTGTCCCTTTACCAATTCTTTTTTCCTTTCTCCCTCTCCCCCTTCCCCCCCAATCAATATCATATCTGTTCACTTGTCTGAACGAGTTCAAGGAATTGTTGTGATTGTTGTGTCTTCTCCTCCCTGCCATTTATTTGTTGGTATATTTAGAATACACATTATCACCGAGTGCACACAGAACATTCTCCAGGATAGATCCTATGGGAGGCCAAAAGCTAAGTCAACAAATTCAAGAAGACTGAAATAATATCAAGTATCTTTTCTGTCCATAATGGCATAAAACGGGCATGGAGGTCAAGACGAAGGAAGAGGAGACCTGCCTGCTGCTTTTCCGCCACAAGTAGAAGCAGCTTGAGGCCTGTGCCAGATGCAGCTGTAGCAGAATCGATGCAAAGGAATGGCTTGGAAAAGGTGTCTTTACCCTGCCAAGAACCGGGAATCTTCCCCCAACCCGCATGCGCGACCTGCCAGTGCGCCTCGGCCCACGTCGCAGCCACAGCCGCAGACGTGGAAACATGGAGGCCTGAGCTGGCGTGTGTCACCCTGGGCTGCAGCGGTGACCATGGCTTCTGACCCTCCACCCCCACCCGCCCGTCCCTGGAGCTAGAAGCAAATCAACCCACAGCTGAGACAGGGAGACGTCCAGTGGGAGAGGCAGAAGCTCCCAGGAGACCACACGCCCTGCGGGGCCGCCACTGCATGTTCCAACAGGTAGACTTCACTGCCACCACCCGGCTTCATTCCCAGCCCAGCCCAGTGTACACAGAGCGGGGAGACGTCGGGCAGGGGAGGTGGGAACTCCACAGGGTCCACGCTGCTGCCACGCAATCCAGCAGCCCGGCCCAATGTATACGGAGCACAGAGTCATCCAGCAAGGGAGACAGAATCTCAGTAGAGTCCACACACCCTGTGGGGGGGCCGCCACCACACGATCCAGCAGCAAGTAGGCTTCACCATCGCCACCCGGCTCCATCCCAAGCCCGGCCTAGTGCGCACAGAGCAGGGAGACATCCTGCAGGGGAAGGGGAAGCTCTGCAGAGACCACACACTCTGCGGTGCCTCGGCGCATCACAGCAGCCCAGGCCAGAGCGCACTGAACAGGGAGTCACTGAGGTAGCCATACCAAATTGGCAACCACAGCAACATCTTAGTCAGTCAATAATGTCAAACCTGTGGACTGTGAAACACCCTGCCACAACGAATAAACATCAAAGAAAAGATACCAGAAATATGAAAAAATCAAGAAAGTACACCACCAAAAGATACTAAATCTCAAGCTCTAGATCCTATAGAACAAGGAGCCCTTAAAATGACTGACAAGGAATTACGAGTGATAATTCTAAGGAAACTGAATGAGATACAAGAAAACTCAGCTAGACATCACGATG